TTGTGTTCTCTGTCTCTCTCTCTCTAAAATAAATAAATAAATCTTTTTAAAAAATCAGTCAAGGGATTCACAGAATAAAAGGATGTAAAGTATGACACCATATACATACCTAAAATGTGGAGGGGGTGGTAAAAAAATGCATTCAAACTTAAGCGACCATCAACTTAATATAGACTGCTGTATGCATAAGATGTTATATATGCACCTAATGGTAACCACAAATCCAAAACCAGTAAGAGTTACGAAAAAAACAAAGAGAAAGGAATCCAAGTATATCACTAAAGAAAGTCAACAAACCATGAGAGAAGAGAGCAAGAAAAGATAGGAATAGAGAAGAACTATAAGCACAACCATAAAACAAGTCACAAAATGTCAGTAAGTACATGCCTATCAATTATTACTTTGAATGTAAATGCACTAAACATTCTAATCAAAAGACACAGGGTGACAGAATGGATAAAAAAGCAAGACCCATCAATATGCAGCCTACAAAAGATTCATTTAAGATTTAAAGACACATGCAGATGGAAAGTAAAGGGATGGAAAAGCATTTATCATGCAAATGGAAGTAAAAAAGAAAGCCAGGGTAGTAATACTTATATCAAATAAAATAAGATTTTCAAAAAAAGACTATGTAATAAGAGACAAAGAAGGACACTATATAATCACAAAGGGAACAATTCAATAGGAAGATACAACAATTGTAAATATTTATGCACCCTACAGGGGAGCACCTAAATACACAAAGCAGCTAATAACAAACATAAGGGAAGTAATCAATAGTAATACAAAATAGTAGGGGACTTTGTAGTAATACAAAATAGTAAGCCCCACACTTACATCAACGGATAGATCATTCAAACATAAAATCAACAAGGAACAGTGGCTTTGAATGACACATTGGCCAGATGGATCCAACAGATACATTCAAAACATTCCACCATGAAACAGCAGAATACACATTCTTTTCTATTGCACATGGAACATCCTCTACAATAGATCACACATTAGGCCACAAAAAAAGTATCAACAAATTCAAAAAGACTGAAGTCATACCACGCATCTTTTCTGATCCCAACACTATGAAACTAGAAATCAATCATGAGAAAAAGATCTGGAAAGAACACAAATACATAGAGGTTAAATAACATGATGCTAAACAATGAATAGGTCACCTAAGGCATCAAAGAGGAAATCCAAAAATACTTGGAGATAAATGAAAATTGTAACACAATGGTCCAAAATCTTTGGGATATAGCAAAAGCTGTTCTAAGAGGGACATTTATTTATTTTTTTTAAAGATTTTATTTATTTATTTGACAAAGAGAGACACAGTGAGAGAGTGAACACAAGCAGGGGGAGTGAGAGAGGGAGAAGCAGGCTTCCTGCTGAGCAGGGAGCCCGATGTGGGGCTTGATCCCAGAACCCCGGGATCATGACCTGAGCTGAAGGCAGACGCTTAAACAACTGAGCCACTCAGGCGCCCAGGGACATTTATAGTAATACATAGCTACCTCAAGAAGCAAGGAAAATCTCAAATAAGCATCCTAACCTTATACCTAAAGGAGCTAGAAAAAGATGACTAAAAAATTAAATAAATAAATAAATAAAATGCCAGTAGAAACAAGGAAATAACACAGACTGGAGCAGAAATAAAGGAAACAGGAACTAAAACAAAACAAAAAAGAGCAAAAAAACCCACAATAGAACAGATCAATGAAACCAGGAGCTGGTTCTTTGTAATGATTAAACCCTCAGGGCACCTGGGTGGCTCAGTTGGTTAAGCAACAGCCTTTGGCCCGGGTCATGATCCTGGAGTCCCGGGATGGAGTCCCACATCGGGCTCCCTGCTCAGCAGGGCGTCTGCTTCTCCCTGTGACCCTCTTCCCTCTCATGCTCTCTGGCTCTCATTCTCTCTCTCAAATAAATAAATAAAATCTTTAAAAAAAAAGGATTAAACCTTCAGCCAGACTCATCAAAAAGAAAAAAAAAGAGAGAGAGGACTCAAATCCAAAAATGAAACAGGAAAAGTAACAACTAACACTACAGAAATACAAAGGATTATAAGAGAATATTATGAAAAATTATATGCCAACAAATTGGACAACCTAGAAGAACTGGATAAATTCTTAGAATCATATAACTTCCCAAAACTGAATCAGGAAGAAACAGAATATTTGAACAGATGGATTACTAGCAATGAAATTAAATCAGTAATCTGAAAACTCCCAAAAACAAAAGTCCAGACCAGACAGCTTCACAGGTGAATTCTACCAAACATTTAAAGAAGAGTTAATACCTACTCTTCTCAAACTATTCCAAAAAATAGAAGAGGAAGGGAAGCCTCCAAATTCATTCTATGAGGCCAGTCTTACCCTGATACCAAAACCAGATAAAGACACAGGGCAATATCTCTGATGAAACACAGACGCAAAAATCCTCAACAAAAGATTAGCAAACCGAATCCAACAACACATTAAAAAAATAATTCACCACGATCAAGTGGGATTTATTCCTGGGATGCAAGAGTGGTTCAATAGTCACAAATTTATCAACATAATACATCACATCAATAAGAGAAAGAATAAAAACCATACGATCATTTCAATAGATGCAGAAAAACCATTTAACAAAGTACATCATATTCATGATAAAAAACCCTAAACAAAGTAGGATTAGGTGGAACATACCTCAACATAGTAAAGGCCCATATATGACAAACCCACAGCTAACATCATACATAAAGGGATAAAAAACAAGAGCTTTTCCTCTAAGATTAGGAACAAGACATGGATGTCCATACTCTCACTACTTTTATTCAACATAGTACTGGAAGTTCTGGCCACAGCAACCAGACCAGGAAAAAAAAAAAGAAAAGGACCCAAAACTATAAGGAAAAAGTAAAATTTTCACTGTTTTCAGATGAAATCATACTATATACAGAAAATCCTAAAGACTCAACCAAAAAAAACTACTAAAATTGACAAATGAATACAGTGAAGTTACAGAATACAATATCAATATATGAAAATTTATTGTATTTCTATACACTAATAAGTAGCAGAAAGAGAAATTAAGAAAACAATCCCACTTACAATTGTGCCAAAAAGAATAAAATACCTACAAATAAATTTAACCAAGAAAGTGAAAGACCTGTACTCTAAAAATTATAAAACATTGATGAAGGAGGGGCACCTAGGTGGCTCAGTTGATTAAGCGTCTACCTTCAGCTCAGGTCATGATCTCAGGGTCCTGGAATCGAGCCCTGCATTGGGCTCCCTGCTCCGTGGGAAGCCTGCTTCTCCCTCTCCCTCTGCAGCTCCTCCTGCTTGTGCTCTCTCTCTCTCAAATAAACAAATAAAATCTTAAAAAAAAAAAAATACAACTACCATATGATCTGGTAATTCCACTATGGGGTATTTATACAGAATACAAAAACACTAATTCAAAAGATTTATGCACCCCTATATTTATTGCAGTATTATTTCCAATAGCCAAATTATGGAAGCAGCCCAAGTGTCCACTGATATATGAACAGATAAAGAAGATATCCATAACGGAATATTACTCAGCCATAAAAAAAAGAATGAGGTCTCGCCATGTGTGACAACATAAATGGACCTAGAGGGTATTATGCTAAGTAAAATAAGTCAGAAAAAGACAAATACTATATACTTTCACTTACGGATGGAGCCTAAAAAAACAAAACAAATTAACAAGCAAACAAAAAACACCAGAAAGAGAATCATAAATACAGAGAACACACTACACTGGTGCTTGCCAGTGGGGAGGTAGGTAGGGGGATGGGTGAAATACATGAAAGGGATTAAGACATAGAGACTTTAAAAAAAAAAAGTTATTGTGTCTTCTAAGTACAAACATCTCAAAATTACTCTTAGTATTTAAATTATCTGATTTTCCTATTTTTCTTTGTCCTTGACATGGAAATTCAACAAGTGCCATCTGGGTTACAAAATGAGTGTCCTCCAACTGAGAGAAGATGGAACTTTCTTCCCCAATAGGCAACCCTTCCAAAGGACAGTTTAGGTCTTTTGAAGAATTGGATTAGAAAATACAGGTTGATAAGGTGATGTTGATAACTTCTGCCTCAGAGACTTCTTCTGTACCCGTGAAAAGGCAGCCATGAGGGGTGTACAACAGTGTGTGGTGTGGATGAAAGAAGACTGGCAATGAGTGGAATACTGCTGAAATTGGGTCATGGGTACACAGAGTTCATTATACTAGCCTCTTTTTTCATAATCAAAAGGCTTTTAAAAAAAACGAAGAAAATGAAAACTAAAATAATAAGTACCCCCAAATAATCAGTAAGAATGGGAGAGTAAGCAAGAATAAGGAAGTTAGGTTGTCGGGTATAACTACAATCCACAGATAATACAAGAACATTATTTTAGCCAATAACTTAAATCCCTTCCTTCCATGAATAGCACGGCTCCTACCTGGATATATATATCCATTGCTATACCCATCAAAATGGATTTCCTGGGTTCTTACTTTGCCTGCCCTGTCTTTGATGAAATGTCTCCTAGTCAAGCAGCCCAGGATGATTTAAAAAAAAAAAAAAAAAAGCGAAGAACCTGGATAAACCACAAGGTATGTAAAACAATCCATGAGTATCAAAAACTGACAATCTAAACAACAGAAGGTTTGGTATAGAAAAAGGATGTGATGGGCCATTAATTTCCACCTTATACTTTAATCACCCAGAAAGTCACAGAAAGGTCAATTACTTCCTTTTTTTAATTTTTTTTTTTATTTTTTAAATTTTATTATGTTATGTTAGTCGAGAGGTTAATCACTTCCAATTAACATTGCTCTCTATAGAGCTGGTGCCCAATAAATGAATGTTAATTAGCTAACATGGCATCCTTGGTTCAGTGGTTCAATTATACATGGCCACCACTACCAAAGCTTGACTTTTAAATTTACACCACAGCGAAAGTGTTTTTTTGATAAATCCAACATTATGAGGCATGTTCTACCTGATATCCAAAGAAGACCATCAGCCACATATCCAGCATGACATGAAAGGGATCGGTCAAAGGACTGCACAAAAGTCCATTTGTTCTTCTTGGGGCAATATCGCTCAACTGTAGGCAGAACCTGGCGCAGTTCATTTCTACCCCCAGCCGCATAGAGGTATTCATCCATGGCACCCAGCACAAAATGCTCCCGGCAGTTTTTCATGGGTGCTATCTCGGCCCAGGAATTACTACGGGGGTCATAGCGACAGGCAGTCCTCACGGCACACGTCCGGCCACTAGCATGCTCAACTTCTCCGCCCGCTACAAACAGAAAGTCCCCCATGACTGCCACACAATGGTGGCTCCTTCCCACGGGCATGGGAGCCAGCTCACTCCAGTTGGCAATGGCAGCTATGAGAGCATTCTCCTGGTCAACGGGATTGAAGTACCGAAGTTCCTTGACTTTACAGACCTCACGCTTTTTCCCGCCAATGATATACAGAGTGTCTGACTGGAACCGCGGTTTGGTCCTGCGAGTTTGCCAAACGGGCTGCGCATAGATGCTCTGGTGGTATTCCAGGGCCTCATTGACAAGAGCGGTTGCAGTTTCACTTGCCTGGACGAGGGGGTGGGACAGGGCAACTGTATGCAGAGTATCCACATCCATCAGGCCGAAGCGGATATACTGCAGGAGCTCATCCATGTACTGGTAATGGCAGTTGTGTTCCAACCACCTCACGGCTAGCTGAAACAGAGGGAGGAGGAATGACAGAATACAAAGGTAAGAAAGAGAGCCAAAGCAACGGTGTGCGGGCAGGTCACCTTGTATTCTCTCAGATGCCTTATAATACATCTTTCTTTCTCACAAATAGTGTAACAGTAGAGTATCTTGATACTCAGCTGAGGAATCTTTTCCTCCTGCATCCGCAGAGACACCAACGAACTCAAGTATCATTGTAGAGGTCAAGAGCAATGTTAAGCAACGCTGACAGAGACTTAAGGTAGCACTTGGAGTGAACAATGATCACTTTTCAAAGAATGAGAGTACTGTTGTGAAACAACCTGTTCCCTTGTTTCATGCCAAGGAGGCTTGGTACACCCCAGGAATATCAACGATGAGCAGTGTCGCCCCAGTACAAGCAACGCATGTCAACCCATGAGCCACGGTGCTGTATCAATACAAGGAACGTAAGAAAATATGTGATCATCTGAGACCACGGGGTGTAGTTGAGAGAGAATCAATATGACACTAGTAGAACGATTTAGAAAGAAAAAGGACTTTTTTTCCCTGCCCCTCTGGTAGGTCCATCAGTCAGGAAGCAAGAGAAGAAAAAGAAAGATTGTAACCCATCAATTTTATTTTTATTTCCCAGTGAGTTTTCATCTTCAAGACAGTTGTTGTTTGCACATGTAAGATGCTGGCGATTTGTTAGAGCCATTTTCACAAAAACAGGATACAGAGGAGATGATCTTTGTATTAGGGACAAAATAGCAGGTTGTAATCTTAACCTTTTTGTTTAGGTTTAGACCTCTCTCAAGAAGGAAAGGAGAAACAACTCTGGGCTAAAGACAAATAGAATTTCTAAAAACTAAAGCAGGAGCACAAAGTCATGAATAATAAAATTGTACAATGATTTAGAAAATACCATCAACAAAAAACCAATTCATGTTACGGTGCACGTAATTTAAGTGTTTAATTAATGTGACTTAATATTTAAGTTTGGCGCAAACCTTCCTACATACCAACATGAAGTATATCTAATATCTCCAGTCAACATATTCGATATAAATTATCTTTAGCAGCGCCTATATTAAGCTAGATCTCCTAGACAATATAAATGTGGATGTGAAGGAACTAGCATGAAAAGGTAAAGTAATAATTAGAATATTAAATAATTGTGTTGTGTTTTATTTGTGACCAATGGAGTTGGGGTTCTGAGCTCCCCTTTTCAGCTAATATAGATCATTAGGTGAAAAGTCTACAGAGGGAGGGAGAAGGCAATGTAGTGCTCTTGGACCATTACTCCCAGGCAAACATGAGCTGGGTTTTCATCTGGATAAAAAGGATCATAAAACTCTCTGAAGCACTAGATGATTTCATTTGAGTTTCATACAGAGTTTCTGTATTCATTTGACAAATGGCTCCAAAAGGCAAGGCATATTTGGGGCTTTTCTTTTTAGCTTTCTGAATGAAGAGAATGCAGGAAATGAATTCATTTCCCATATATACTAAATTGCATCTCTTAATGAATTACGTAGTGAAGAGAAATGAAAAAAGAATGCCAGGTAAGCCTACCACATTGCCAAGGAGGCAGACACCGTGGACAGCAGCTGAGCGTCACACTCCAACTGTTTTTCTAGAAACTAGCATTTAAAAAAAAATTAAATAGGATACCCACCTGATGAAAAAATGTTTCTGTGTATGGTGACCATGAGCAATAATCAAAGATATTGGAGAAGAAAAACGTCACTCATCAATCACCAGGTTTCTGCCAGAAGTAGAGAGTTCCCATAGGCAACATCCTGGTTTTTATCCACCCTAATTTTAGAAATTTCAAGGGATGGGGTTCCAATTATTTCCCTGGGGAGATAATTCAACAATTTAACAAATGATCTTCCATTCTTTGCCCACAGAGCTTTCAAAAGTTCCCAGGGATAAAGTCATCCCATTCAAGGTCATTTCTCATGCAGCAGGTAAAATTTTCTGAAACTTAATCTTCGATATTGCTCCTAATTTAATTGAGTAGTTCCAGCTGATATTGCTTTGCCCTGTAACAAATTTCTCAGCATCCTTACATCCTAATATTTCTGCATCTTTCATATGGATACTACAGGAAACATTATAAGAGAAACATCAGATAAATATCCATGTCTCCATAGCCTCTTCTTATAGCATAGTGCTGCCCATTTAATTATTTTTCTCTTTCCTCATAAATCAGTTCTTCCTATGTCATAATCAATCTTCTAGCCCATCTCTTAACACTCTCCAGTTTATTTTTGTTTTTCTGGCAAACAGTGGCACTTACTGCATGAAAAGCACATGGGCCACAACTAGGTTCTGCCTTTAAGAAAATCTCTAACAAATCAAACAGGCAATGGAAAGTGACCACTGTGATCTATCACTGATTAATTTCTGACTTTCGGTCTACTATTAGGCCTATGTCACATCTATCATGATGTTTTCCACGTTCAATTTCCCCAATACTATGCATTGCAGAATACTTTGTGCACACACATTTAGTTCATGTTCTCTGGGATAATTTTTATCTTATTTCTTGCCAGTATTTCTAATTTCTTGCAGATTTCATATAATTTGCACACTTTTATCACTTTAAGTATTTTCAGACTATGCAAGTCATTAACAGTTGTTGGGTTTATCTTTTCTCCAGATCGAAGGTAAATGTAATTTACAACTGTTCTGCCACCAACCTCAAAGCAATCTCAGCTAGAATTAGTGTGATTTATAGATTTAAATCCAGTGCTTCCCAAACCTAACATGCGCACAAATTAACTGGGGTTTCTGGTCAAGATGCAGATTCTGACTCAGTAAGTAGGGAGAGAAAGATAGGGAGTTTGCATTTCTAACAATCTAAAGATGATGCAGGGCGCCTGGGTGGCTCAGTTGTTAAGCGTCTGCCTTCGGCTCAGGTCATGATCCCAGAGTCCTGGGATCGAGTCCCATATCGGGCTCCCTGCTCAGCAGGAAGCCTGCTTCTCCCTCTCCCACTCCCCCTGCTTGTGTTCCTGCTCTCACTGTCTCTCTCTGTCAAATAAATAAATAAAATCTTAAAAAAAAAATAAAGATGATGCATATGCTGCTGGTCCATGGGCCACACTTTGAGTCAGAAGGTTCTAGACAGATTCCTAATCATGAAACAGTAAATCGCTGTCTTATTAGAATAAAGTCTGCGGTTTCAAAACTAGGCTTAAATCAAATGAAGTCTAAGTAGGATGCTGTAGTAAAAATATAGGACACTTAAGGCTTAGTATTAAAGGTAAAATAGTATATTTCCTATATAGTGGATACGGGTGAGATCTTACTATGGGTAAAACGGCATATTTTGAGACCTTGGTTCTATAAGGTCTATGAATCAACAGCTGGTTCCAATAGCATATCATGAGTCATATAAACACTCTGTGTAGTTCTGCTTTCACAATAACAAATAAATGTTAAAGAGTACAACGACATGGATGGAGCCAGAGAGTATTATGCTAAGTGAAATAAGTCAGTGAGAAAGACAAATACCATACGATTTCACTCATAAGTGGAATTTCAGAAACAAAACAAAAGAGCAAAAGGGAAAAGAAAAGAGAGACAGACAAACCAAGAAACAGACTCTTAACTATAGAGAACAAACTGATGGTTACCGGAGGGGAGGTGGGTGGGGGGATGGGGAAAATAGGTGATGGGGATTAAGGAGCGCACTTGTTGCAATGAACACCGGGTATTGTACGGAATTGTTGAATCACTGCATTGTACACCTGAAACTAGTATTACACTGTATGCTAGCTAACTGGAATTTCAATAAAAACTTGAAAAAAAGTTATTGTACTGTTTTTACTTTCGTAAAAACGTAAGAGAGAAAACCACTGAAAGAATGGATAACTTTTATTTATCCAAAAAATGAAAGAAATGGCAAAGAAATTTCAAAACAATGAACTACCTCAAAATCACTTCTACACTGTGGACCCCACAAAGCCATGCTGAATTGAGGGCAAGGTGGTAGAGGAAATCCTGGGGCACATTTAAGGGGTTTAGAGAATACTGTAAGCAGAAGGCTGATTCATCACTGGGGCATCATGGAACCTAAAGATCACAGTTAGCTTTGTAGTGTATTTTGGTGCTTTTATTGTTTGGAATAATTAATAATTGTTTGGAAACAATTATTCTGGGAACTGGTGGTTTTTAATGACACTGCATTGAGAAAGCGTAAGTCAGGGAAGGGTGAAATCCTATTCTTTTTTTTTTTATAAGATTTTATTTATTTATTTGAGAGAGAGAGAGCACAGAGGGAGAGAGAGAGGGAGAAGCAGACTCCCCAGTGAGCAGGGAGCCTGACATGGGGCTCCATCCCGGGACCCTGGGACCATGACCTGAGCTGAAGGCAGATGCTTAACCGACTGAGCCACCCAGGCGCCCCTGAAATCCCACTCTATCTTACTTATCCTGGCATACTGCTATCCCCATCACTCTAAGCTCTAGCATATTTTAATTGGGAGAAAGATGGAGCAATTAGCAGAAGTCTTATCTCCCCCTTTTTTGGTGACAAAGCCAGCAAGAGTGGAAAAGAAATTAAGGATTCCATTTGGGAAGACACACAAAGGGTACCATTGGGCAAGATGTTTCCTAAACCATCTGAAATACAAGGGACTATCATCTCTAAAGACTACAGGAGATCTCCCAGGCACCTTGCCTGACCCAATCTAGTTCATCTGACCCTGACGAAGAATTGTTCCTTCCTAAAAGGAGCATTTGCTACAGCTTATTCCAACTTCAATTCATCTCATCCTCAGATCCTTGATAAGAACAGTGGCTGCACACAGTAGGCTATGAATATTTGTTGCATAAAGGGAAAATTATTTCCAACTGTTCTTAGGCTATTTCTCATATTCCTCTTGAACAAACAGTATCAATTCCTTTCTATATTTGTCTACCTATCCCAGTTTTCGGTTTCCTGTTATCTCATCTTTGTGGCTTTCCTATAAAGCCCTTATAAGCTCTCAGAATGTCACACGGCAGCACAC